GAAGAGAGCTTGGAGGAGGAGAAGCTAAGCTATAAGCACCGGCGTAATCTCCCGGGACAATCTCTATGATCTGATTCAGCACAGTCTATTAGAGAATAGGATTTGATTCTCATTAACTGTAAAATGTGGTTACATGGAGATATATATACACTTACGTTTAACCAAGATAAACCACACTCAAATGTTAATCTACTCTAATCTATTCTAAACCGAACTAAACCGGTCATATACATTAATAGCCTCCCTCAAGATGAAGGTGCATAAATGTTATGCAGACCCATCTTGCGTATATTATCCCGGAAAGGAGTAGGATAGAGTGCCTTGGTTAACACGTCAGCGAGTTGATCACCAGTACGAACATACATAGTCTTGAGAAAACCGTCTTGCATCTTCTCCCTCACCTTATGGCAATCGTTCTCTATGTGTTTTGTGCGTTCATGGAACACAGGATTGCTTGCAATGTGCAAAGCTGCCACATTATCACAATAGAGATACGTCGGAAGTTTGAAAGGTAAGCGAAGATCAGTCAAGACTTTTACCACCCACATCATCTCTTTTGTAGCCATACACATTGCTCTGTATTCAGCCTCTGCTGAACTACAAGAGACAGTGTCTTGCTTCTTCGACTTCCAATGAACAAGAGAGTCACCAACAAACATAGCATAACCTGTCACGGAACGTCTAGAATCTGGACAACCACTCCAATCAGAATCAGAATACCCTCGCAAATCAAAGTTAATCTCAGTTCCATAAAACACACCAAGGCCAATTGTCCCCTTCAAATATCGTAGAACTTTGTGAACTGCTTGAAGATGAACATCAGTAGGTGCTGCTGAGTACTGAGCCAACTTAGAAACAGCGAAGCAAATATCTGGTCTCGTAAAAGTGAGATACTGCAGCTTCCCCAACAATCTTCTATATTGTTTCGCATCAGAAAGCAGAGTACCATCATCCTGAGAAAGCTTCTGATTTGGTTCCATAGGTATAGAAGATGGTTTACAACCGGAAAATCCAGTAGCTTCAAGAAGATCCAACACATATTTTCTTTGACAGACAGAGATCCCTTCAGAAGATCTTGCTATTTCTAGGCCAAGAAAATACTTCGGAGCTCCCAAATCACGAAGCTTAAAAGCTGTACTCAATCTCTGCTTCAACTCATTCACCATATCATCATCAGTACTGGCGATGAGTATATCATCAACATACACCAAAATCACCAATAACTTCCCATCCAAAAATTTCACAAACATCGTATGATCTCCAGTACATGTCTCAAAACCAAAGCTAAGCAAAGTAGTAGAGAGTTTCACAAACCACTGTCGTGAAGCTTGCTTCAAACCGTAGACTGATTTGTGAAGTCTACACACTGCATTTGGAGAAACTTCAACACCTTTTAACTCCGAATAGCCTGGTGGTAACTTCATATAAATCTCTTCCTCCAAATCTCCATTAAGAAACGCATTAGAAATATCAAGCTGTGTCAACTTCCACTTCAACTTAGGTGCAACAGATAATAAAATTTTCACCGTAGCCATCTTTGCCACCGGGGAAAATGTGTCAAGAAAATCTATGCCCTCTTGTTGCGTGTAGCCTTTGGCAACCAGTCTTGATTTCTTCCTCTCTTCTGTACCATCTGCATGATACTTGATAGTATGTATCCATCGACAACCAATAGCTTCTTTACCTGATGGTAGCTCAGTAATAGTCCAAGTTTCTGTTCGTTCAAACGCATCAATCTCCAGACCCATGGAATCACACCATACCTTATCCTTCAATGCCTCTTTATAATTTTGTGGAATGGGATCTTTGGTAATGATATTAAGAAAGGCATAGAAAGGCTCAGATATAGAAGTATAAGAAATATAATTTGTGATGGGATATGGAGTAGTAATACGAGTCTTATCAGTAGAAAAAGAAGTATTATAGCAATGGTAATCCTGCAAATGAGAGGGTAATTTCTTTTGGCGAAGTGATTTTGAGTTGGATGAATCCAAAACCTCAGAGGGTATCTTATCTTTTGGGAGACAAGTACCAGAAGTAGATGGTGATGTATTAGAAGTTGCAGGATGAGAAATATGAGGAAGGAATGTCCTTGTATCTTCCGTGATATCAGAAGATACGAAGGGGAAAATATCCTCATAGAAAATAACGTGTCTAGAAATAGAAACCGAGTGTGTCTCTATATCTAGTAGCTTATATCCTTTGTAACCACTAGGGTAACCTAAGAAAATACAAGCTTTAGCACGAGGATCAAATTTCGTTCTATGACTAGACAAGGTTGAACTATAACAAAGACAACCAAACGTTTTCAAACTATGATAATCTGGCATCTTAGAGGTAAGTTTCTGATAAGGGGATTGATTTCCAAGAACCTTAGAAGGTAATCTATTTATAAGAAACGTAGCAGTCAAAACACAATCTCCCCAAAACTCTAATGAAACTCCTGACTGAAACATAAGAGCCCTAGCCACATTTAAAAGATGCTGATGCTTTCTCTCTACAACAGAATTTTGTTGTGGTGTTTCAGGGCAAGAATGATATGCTTTAATACCTTTCTTATGATACAAGTCAGTAAAATTTAGTTCATTAGCATTATCAGAACGAACAGAGCAAACTTTCAAATTGTATTGAGTTTCAACCATTGCAATAAAACCAGGAAATACATGTAAAACGTCAGACTTTTGTTTAAGCAGATAAACCCAAGTTGCTCTACTAAAATCATCAACAATTGTCAAGAAAAACCGATAACCTTCTCTAGTAGGAACAGAGAAAGGCCCCCATGTATCAATATGAATCAATTCAAACGGTTTGACACACATGTTTTGACGAGAATTAAAAGACAAGTGTTTCTGCTTAGACAAATGACAAACATGGCAAGGTTCATGAGTTTTATTTATTTTATTTTTAGGTAAAACCAATACATCAGATAAGTGCTCAATCTTAGACATGGACGGATGTCCTAACCGTTTATGCCAAGTAGTAGAATCGATATGGAAACTAGAACAAGCAGGAAACATACCTTTAAAAGATAAAATTTCATTTGAACTAGGTAAACTCAGAACATATAAATTTGCCTTCTCAACACCTTGACCAATCATCCGGGCCTGAGTACGATCCTGAATAAAACATTCATCAGCAGTAAAACTAACTTGAGAATGCAATGTTTTAGTCAATACACTAACACTCAACAAATTGAATTTGAAATCAGGAATGTATAAAACATTGTATAGAGAGATCGCATCAGTCAATCTTATAAATCCGGTACCTTCTATTTTGACAGTGTAACCATTAGGGAGAGTAACATAGGTTTGATCTAGGGTATTATATTCTAGATATAAAGACCTATCATGAGTAACATGATGACTAGCCCCCGAATCTATCACCCAAGCTCTAAGAGACACACTGGTTTCTTTAGAGGTAGATGAAATTAACACGTCATTGAAAGAGCATTTGAAAGTAAGAAATGTACCAGTTATCTGAGAGATAGATGGCACGGAAGTGGAAGTAGAGGCATTGTTCCTTTCGGATAGAGGACTTGGAGTATGAAGCTTGATGCTGTTTAACTCTGGTGCAATGACAGAAGAGCCTTGGAGCTGATTACTGAGATACGCAATCATGTGTTGAATTTGGTCTTTACTCATGCTAGGATCATTCTCCTTCTGATGAGAATCCTGGTGTCCGAGAGCTAGATTAGTGTTCACAGTTGGTTTGTTAGGCTTCCCCCTTTGTGGATGTCCTGGAGGGTATCCATGAACCTTGTAACATTTATCAACTGTGTGACCAATCCTGTGGCAATGAGAACACTTAGGCTTTTGATAGCCTCCCTGAGCAAGCAACACCTGGCTATTCTCCGGAGTAACAGACTGAGTCTGAAAAGCAACAGGTGCAGGAGCAGAGCTAGCCTTATTAGTATTCCCTATCATTCTCTGACTCTCATCTTGATCCAGCATATTGTAGATATCATTCAACTGTGGACGAGGCTTCATATTCAATATCTGACCACGGATGTTGTTGAAAGAATCATTTAATCCCATAAGGAATTGAATGATCCTACTTGTCTCGGCATCTTCAAGCAATTCCTTCACTTGATCACAATTACATTTCTTCACAAGAGTTGATTTGGTGTTCGCAAGCTGCTCCCACAATGTTTTCTTCTTAGTGAAGTATGTAGAAAGATCTGAATCCCCTTGCTTGAGTGTCATCACTGCCTGTTCAAGTTGATACTTCCGTGGCAGATTATTAACCTTGAAACGCCTAAACAAATCATCCCACATCTCAACAGCATCTTCGTAATACAGAATACTATCATAGATATCCTTATTCACCACATTCAACAACCAAGACTTCACCATGCTATTACAACGACTCCAGATCTTGAAGCATTTATCATCAACAGCAGGTCTAATCAAAGATCCATCTACGAAACCTATTTTGTTCTTCGCATCGAGACTAATCTTCATCGCTATAGACCAGCTATTGTAATTTGTTCCATCAAGAGTATGAGAGACGATAGATAGACCTGGATGATCGGCGGAATGAAGGAAGAAGGGACTATGAGTATCATACGGTTCCGTTAGCATCGACATCGAACTTTCTCCAAAACGATTCGCCGAGCTACGAACTTGTTGTTGTTTTGCGGAAACTTCATCAGGTTCGTTCCGATTCGGTGTTATCGATCTCGTACGAACCTCAGATCCTTGATCTTCATCTTCAAATCTCTGATTCTTCGATTTTGCGCCGCGTCTCACCATTGTTAATCCGTTTGTGCTCCCGAGAGTAGAATCAAACGAAGAGGAGATCGAAGAGATGAAACGTAACGATTTGATTCACGGAGAAGAGAGAAATCGAGAAGAAGAATCAACGAAGCGAAGCGAAAGATAGCTCTGATACCATATTAGAGAATAGGATTTGATTCTCATTAACTGTAAAATGTGGTTACATGGAGATATATATACACTTACGTTTAACCAAGATAAACCACACTCAAATGTTAATCTACTCTAATCTATTCTAAACCGAACTAAACCGGTCATATACATTAATACAGTCTCTGGTTCAGGTCCAATCCTATTAGTCGACGCTAAAACAACAACACTGTTCAGTGTCTCGCCGCGTTTGAGAATCTTGACTTGTCCCATAACAAGATTGGTTTTCATGGCCGGGGAGACAACCATCTTCCTAGACTGATACGACGTCGTGGGGCCTCGCTTGAGTCGGAGAGGAGCCGTCGTAGGAGCGTATGAGTGACGGCGAAGGCGAGAATGATTACGGTGGGTTAGGGTTTCGTGATCGAATCTATGGTTTAAAGAGCTTCCAGAAGAGAGAATAGCAGTGGCCATCGTTTTAGCTAATTTTGATTAGAATGTAAAAATTATCTCACGGAAATCTGTTTATATAGAATCCCCGCATGACTCAGATCCACCAACTTCAAATTTCTATTTTTCTTTTTTTGAGGGAAAGAAAATAATTTGTATTTGCCAATTACATCCGTACTATTATTGTGAAGTATCTTTTTGATTTGTTTTAACGAAATACTAAAACTTGACCCGCACTAAAGTGCGAATGTTTCTCATTTTATAAATGTATAATTTAATATTATAATAAAAATTGTAAATATATGATTTACATTTTTGCAATATATATATATATATATTATGTAACTCTATAACTTTATTTTTAAATTTTCTATTCAATATTATTAATATGTAATGTGTTATATATAATTTATTTTTGCTATTAATTGTTACTACATAAAATATATTTTGGAGTTTGATACAATAAATTCATAACATGAAACAAACAGATAAATCATCTCCATCAAAATATGTTTTTCAGTTTTGTTATACTACAGTGATGATATTTATTTAGGATAGTTTATATATTTCACGAAATGTTTACAAAAATATACTTTAGCATCTATCCTTTTAATATATTGCGCCATTTGATAAGTAAATATATTATTATGTTTTAGTAATTTGAAAATACTGCAAGATTTTTGTACTTGTAATTGTAAAAAATATTATTCTTCAATATATATTGAATTTATAATATTTTATTATAAGAAAATTATTTTTGGCCAAAATAAAATTTGAACAAAAAGAAAATTTATTTTAGATGGTATAAAATCATGATTCTGCAAATATTATAAATTACAATCATAAATTTGTATTATAGATATTAGAGAAATATAAATTAATTATGGTCATATATTATTTAATAAATTTTATCGAAATACAGTGTTTTTGAATCTTATGGTATTAACATGTATATGTTTAAAAATCTTAAATAATATATATATATACACACATATATTTTTAGATATATAAGTTTAATATATGTTAAAATTATTTTTTAATATAAAAATATATAGCTTATGAAATTCAATCCGTTTTAATGGGGAATGATATTTTATTTATTTATTTAAATGAAAACACTTCTTAAAAATAAAACAGGCTAATCTATCAATTTAATATAATTAAATAATATTTAATTCATATAATATTTTGATTTAATTAATATATTATAATTATCAAGTTTATAAAAATGGGACAAAATTTTAATTTTTCGTTTTATATTAAATATTTGATTAATTTTAACACTATCATGATACTAATTTGGAAATTAATTAATGAATATTTTACAACATCATATTTAAAATTTTAGTAAGATTTTGGTAGATTTTTCTCAAAAGATTTTGTTGTAAAAATAAATTTTAAATTTATAGATTGATTTATTATTAATGTCTTGATGAAGATTTTCATAAATGTTATTGTTAGGGTCAAAATCGGTACGACAGAATCAATAGCCAAAACTTTCTGTAAAAATACTAAATACGTTTTATAAGACTCGCCAAGCTGTTTTAAAACAATCGAGAATTCATTTTATAAAACTCGAGAAGTCGTTTTATAAAACTCGAGAAGAAGTTTTATAAAACTCGAGAAGACGTTTTATAAAACTCGAGAAGTCGTTTTACAAAACTCGAGAAATCGTTTTATAAAACTCGAGAAGACGTTTTATAAAACTCGAGAACTCGTTTTATAAAATTCTAATAAGTTTCCCAACAAAGAAAATCCGCGGGAAACTCGGAAATCATTATTTCGAAAGAACAAAACAAACGCCGATTACACGATCCTCCGTAAACAGCGAGCTAGGGGCGTCCCGTATAGCTCACCGTACGGCGAGCTGAACCGTTCTGGTTCGGTTCGTCGTACGTCGAGCTAATTATCCCGAGTCTCGATCTCCCACGTCCTCGATTCAGGACCAACGTCCTTCGGCACAACCATGTCCTGAACCACGGTCGAAATGTCTCTCGATTCGTCTCGATACGTCCTATCGTTCGAGTTTTACGATAAAAACAGTTAAGTCTTGTTTTCTAGAAAGAACTCAAGGAAATCGTATAAAGCGGCAACGGTTAAACAAAACACCGAACATTGCCTAAACTATACGATTTACTCAAGATTTTTCGTGAGAAATCGTAAAGAACGCGTTTTTTAATAAAACTTTGAGTGAATCGTAGAAAACGGCAACGGTTAAACAAATAATCGAACATTGCCAAACTTTACGATTAACTCGAGAAACTTATTTAAAAACGGCATCGCATCAGGAAACGATCTCGTATAAAGTTGTTACACGGTTTTATCGCAAAACGGCTAGAAAAGGCCTAAAACGTGATAAAAGCCTATCTTGCGACTATGACAAGGTCTAACCCAAAGATACGGCGATGTTTTGACGATTTACTCATGGAAAGAAGATGAATGTCAAATTTGAAGATAAATGTCAAGTTTGAAGATAAATAGAAGATTTCCGCGGGAAAAAAGGAAAGATCGAGATAAATGGAAGATTCTCGATAAACTCGAATCTGGGCGAAATGGAAGGACCAAACCGCCAAGGAAGGGAGTATATAAGCAAGAGGCATAGGACATAAGCAGATGACGAGTTTTAAGAGCTTTCACCACCAAACTTAGCTTTTAGTAATATTTCTGTTTTTGTTATCGAGCTGCGTCTCAACTAGGGTTTAGTCTTAAGATTGTTAGGGTTAGGAATCTCGCCGACGGCTCACGCAGCTAAGACTACTCTCGTTGTAACCGTTCTTACGCAAATTCGGAATAAGATCCTTCTTCCTCTCAATCTCGCTTATTCATACTTTTATTTCGCAATCATCGTTGTCTTAATTGTTCTTGTGCGGTTTCGCAGATAGCCGGATCCTCTGGGAACTTAGGGTTTACTCAAAGTTCCCTTATTTACGATTTCTTGACAGTAGGAGAATTTCGGTTCCCACAGTTATATATTTGACTGATTAATGAGAATAATTAAACAAATCATATTAATAATTAATATAATGGTCTTACTATGACTTCTCTATTTTAAATAAAAATATGACCATAATTTAATAGATTAGATTTCGTATGTTTCATATTAAGTGTCACTTTAGCTCTGTGCACACGTTCTTAGAAAACAATTAATTTGGATATTTTCTATATAAAAACATATTTACCTATATACCTAACCATATTTCAACCAATAGAAAAAACAAACTAAAATATAAAATTAATTATCTTTTATATTAAAACAGAAATCATGACTTGACTTCATGTGTGATTTTTTTTTAAAATTGACTATTACTAAAAGGTCATGTTACATTAACTCTCTAATAATTTTATCATTATTATATCTTATGAAAAATCATATCTATAATAACAAAGATACGCTTAACAATTTGGTTTTGATAAATTACCCCCATACCTTCCAACTTAGTCACGCAAAATATGTCAATAGATATAAGTTTAGGAATCTTCTATTATTTATAGGGAAATATGTCAATAATAGTTAAATGCATCCACAATATATTAACAAAAATCACAAATTCGTAATATGAAACATTTATATGCCCTAGCAAAATTTATACGCTATATATACTAGATAAATTTATTTCGATGTAAATTTTTAAAATTATATTTTTTAAGAAAAAGAAATTGTTTCAAAAAAAATTCTTTTTAATAAAATTCGTTATAATATTAATTTATGAAGCTATAAGTTTAGTTTTTAGAAAAATTTCATCGAAGTTTATATTATCTTTGCAAATTAAAGTATACTAATATTTAATCAAGCTCTATTTATATTAATTTATCTAAAAATGAAATACTAATCTAACAAACAATAAAATATAGAAGAAGAAACAAACACATGTTTGAAAAATATGTATAATATAGAAAATTTCAAACAATCTATTTGATTAAAACACGTATTATATAATATTATTATGTTTGAAAAATATTTACTAATACATATCGTACATATATGATTACTATAATATATACGAATTTACAAGTGAAAACAAAATGTTTACATAACTAACTATAAACGAAAACAAACACCTGCGCGGTTATGCGGGTCAAAATCTAGTTTTTGTATTAAAAATCGAAAACGACCCTTATTTTGTAACAAAAAAAAATCTCTACAATAACACTTATTTTGTTATTTGTGTACTATGTGATCATAAATAACAAATATAACAAAATCAGTGAAAGAAATAGTTCCATGAAGGGTAAAAGTTAAAACCATCGTTAACCATATCTATGTTTTCCAAAATAGCTACCGCAACTATATTTGGTTCTAAAAAAATATAATGAAGTCATTTGAATCTTTTCAAATCTACTGCCAATATCTTACCAAAAATAAATACACAACTAGCCACAACAAAGGAATTTCAACAAATACAAAACTACAACTAATTCCAATCAACCCTATATTATTCTTTTTCTTCTTGACAGTAAATTTCTTGTTTATTAATAAAGTATTAAATTTGATATACGCCTTGAAAACGCAGAATTTGTTTCATATTAAGTCAACATATCAAAATATGTATATTTCTATTGTATTTTCTAGTGTAAAGCTAAATCCAAAGATGTGTAATATTATTTGGAGTTACATGATTGAGAAAATTGTTCATGTTTCTTACATAGTGACAACCTATCCCTGTAGTTAACAATATACATGATTGAGAAAATCTAAAACACAAAGGTATATTATGATTTCTATGCCTTTAGAAGTTATTATTATGCATAAAGTATATAATACACATATAATATATATTTTTTAACTGTAACTTACGAATAAAGTATGATTATTATTCTTTTGTAGGATATAGGATAACAGTGTTTATCTTAAAAATAGATTAAAATAATTTATAAAAATTCAAAATATCAATACTTTATGTTTATATATTGTAATTCAATTATTTTAATTTTTTATATAATTTTGAATGTGCATGCTAATGGGTCAGACTAATATCTACTATATTAAAAGGGCATAATACTTCCCTCTCCTTAAGCCACGTCGG